CATTTGATTTGGTTTTTGCCCATTTACTTGGTTGAAGTGGCAATTCCAATATGATTAATGATAGCGAATGGAATATAGAATATATAGTAAAGCTAACCGTTTTTTATTAGCTAGGACAATAAAAGTAATTGAATAAATTATTTACTTTTATCCGCTAAGCTTAGAAGACTTTAATTTTAAAGAACTTATCGTATCACAAACGAAATAAACTTGCGGCACTTTTATGACTTGACTTGGAGAATATTTACTATACTTTATAGATAATCAGTGTAACCAATTTATTGATGCAACAATTTAAAATACAGAACAAACATTCGGATAAATAATCATTACCGTATGATCAACAACCTAAAATAAGGGATTATCTTGCATGCTAAATATTTGATTCGGATAAAAACCCGATTTTATGAAACAATGTCATTATGTATACGGTTTCTGGCCTTAAAATTAACTTTCACGATTTTTTATGCAAAATATGGTATTAGTTACAGATAATCTTTATCCGAACTAGTTTTTGGTGTGAATTTGTGTGTTAATTAATTTGTTGATACATATGCATGAATCTTAGAAGAAAAGAAGCATGTAGATAAATTATCCGTTTTTATCCGAACATTTAAAATTAGTGTTTTTGACTGCATAAATAACTTTTGGCTAAACCTGAGCCACAATGGGTTATTATTACAAATAGCTACTATCCGAGTGAGCTTCTGGTGTGAATTTTTGTGTTTAAAGTGCAATTAATGCATGAACCTTAACTATTCGTCAGACTTGGTGTGAAATTATATGGGATTAATTAACTGATTCTATCCAACGATCGTTAAAGCAATCACGCCTTTTGAAAAAATATATATAATATTTTTTTTTCCTAGAAGATAAATGCTTGATAATTAACATAATGGCCCGAGTGGTTACTTATAAAGGCATTGTTATTTTATGAAATTAATTATTATCTTCACATGCAGTCGTCGTCGTCGTCGTCGTTGCTGTAGATTCCTATATGGATGTATGTTTGCACTATGTCATAATCAAGTTAAAAATAAAGCATAATATCACGACGCAAAAAGCCATAAAAAATACGAGTACTTATAAGCCAAAGCGATAAATGCAGTTCATATAAACGATGTGGAATACAACAAAAAAAATTACAAAATTGAATTGAAAAAGGGAAATAATAAAAGAATTGATAGCATATATGGATGGCATATAAAACAATTGACAAAAGAATGCGGCATTTGCTAAATTGAAGTGCCACTGATAAACTCGTAAAAAATATATATATACAGATGTATGTATATATATATATGAATATGTACATAAAAGAGACGAGGCAAGCGGTCAATGCGTGATTTATTGATGCATGAATGAAATTGAAGCATCAACCCGGCAGAGACAATGACCGCGGTTTGATGAACGTTGTACGTTGTGACTGCACAAATTGAATTAAGGCGACATTCAGCAAAAAGCACACACAAAAAAAAAAAGAAAAAATTAATAATGAAACGCAGCAACTCTTTTAATTTAGCATCGTGGAGCCCATAACTTTTAATAGCCGCCGCTCTGTGATTTATGGGTCTGAATTAGTTGCCGTCCGATTTAACGTTTTTACGGGCCAGTTGCGCTACGACAAAAAAAACCTTAATTTTTTTCGAATTTCCTCAAACATTTGGCACATTAAAAACAAACAAAACAAAAAAAAAAATTAACTGGGCGTGCGCCCTGCAATATTCACAGCTTTGAGTGCATTCAATAAATATGTCTATGAATATACATTTTTTGCAAATGAATAACACGTGTCCGTCTGCAAGAAGGTCAAACGAATCACGAATATGAGTTGAAAAAAAAACAACACAACCAAGTCAGGCACTCAAATTCAATTTGCCAAGAATAAAACAAAGCCAGAGACCCACCAGAGGCCCAGTCGTGAAAATCATTTAATTAAATGAACTTTTTCAATGACTCGCTTTTCAAATACCCGTAAATTTAGAACAAACCGTATGCAAGTCTTTAGGATTAAGTGTAATTAATTCATTTAATTTTTTCTGTATAATTAATATATTTCGCATTCAAATTTGACTATATTTCGATTCATCTATCAACATTTAATAAATTCCTGTTTGATAAGTTTCTATTTAATTTTGATGGTAATTCTGATACTACTACTATAAGTTCTGATAATATATTTATGTACTACATAGGTAAAACACAAATAATAAATGCTGCATATACTATCTCCTCTCTCTCTCTCTCTCTCTCTCTCTCTCTCTCTCTCGCTCGCTCTTTTAGGCCCTCGCTCTCGCAAGAGAGCTATTGTTAAGTTGCACTTTGTATCATATTCTTAAACGTTTTACGTAAAATGTTGATAAGCTTTAAATAAAGTCATAAAGTTTCTTTTTTTTTAATTCTCCTTATTTAACTTTTGAATTTCTTTTTAAAAAAGGAAAACATTTACATACTTTTCAACATACGCGAGGGAATACACCTTAATATACACACACAACCCACATCATGGAATTAAGAAAAAAACCATTTGATATAACTAAATAACTAGAATAATAATGTCAGTCTTTGTGATCATTAAATTCGATTATCTCAAAACAAATTGTATACGCAATAATAGCTGATATCTAAACTATGTTTCCACAGTTGGAACGGGTCTAGCCAAGTCGTGCCTTGATTTATTTGAACCTCGATTGCTGGACTGATCAATTGTCAGCGCCGCAGGCACAATAAATATGTTATGAAAATGACAATTTGTCGGCTGACTTATGACTTTATTATATGCAAATTGTGACAAATACAAAAAATACGAAAAAAAAAAGAGAAGAGATATGTATATGTATGTACAGCAGACGAAAGGCGCGTTTTGTTTACAGCGTTTGACATTTTAATACATTGTTATTGCTGTTAATTTGAACACAATTTATTTTGGCATTAAGAAAAATAAACAAAATACAATAAAATAAAAATATATATAAAAAATATGCAACGCACGCGCTGGCGAGAGATCAAGTTCATTGAATTTTCACACTGGCCGAAGACGGCGACAAATAAAAGAAATAGCATTTTAAATTTAAAAGAAAAGAAAACAACAAATGTTTTGCACTGTGTGAAAAATAAAAGCAGCCTTGTCATTTAATTGAATATTTTTAGTGTTTTGCGCTGCGAGAGTGCGCAAAAATCGAATATATATATATACTATATATAAACAATATATAGAATTTTAAAATAACGATGACAAAATCTTGCCCGATGTATTTTTGTGCAACGCCAAAGAATGAAACAAAAGCGCAAAACAAGACAAAAGAGCAAGATATATTGGATTGTACGGTATTCAGAATTCGTTCTTGTTGCTTTTGTCAGCGGACATTCGCCCAGGAAGGCAGCCCAATTAGATTAAAGGCGTGGACATATTTCAAGCGATGCCGCCTGCCATGCGATTAATCACAGTGTAAGTCATGTGAATATCAAGCAGTAATTTCTACAACGAGATAATAACTGAGACAACGGATAAGCTAATAGAATTATCTGCTGCTTAAAATGAATCTGGTTGCACTTTTCGTGATATGCGGATAAGAGGGGAGATTTAATTAAATAATGATTGAGATCGCAGAGATCAAATTTGAATATATAGCATATATTTGCAATATCTAAACATATGTATATGGGCTTGTATAAATTATCTAGATGGTGCTAAGATAAGCCGTATAAAATGCAGTTCCTTTTATTTTAATTTCAAACTGAGCCTTATCCGTTTTAAATGGGAATTTCAATTTGCTGAGGTTACTTTTTTTATGGTATGAGCAATTTCTATAGAATATATTTTTAAATAATTTCACTTAGTTCTATAACTTCAATTCAATGAATTTTTCTCGATACGGATACGGATTATCAACAAAGAAAATAAAACTGGCATAGGTAGGGTATCTGCTAGTCAAGCAGTCTCAATTATTACATTCTTATTTAATTCTACTTTATTAGCCAATTACGTTGGGCATCCGATAAATTTGCCATTGTGTAAAACCTTTGAAGCGTCGGCTTTTTTTTATGCATTTGTTATTGCAAAAATGCATCAACAAAAGAGAGATTTATCCGTTTTTATCCGCATCGTTTTATGGTTCATTCATTCATTGAATATGACGCCATACGAATAAAATTTGAAAGCTCATAAATTATGTTAAAAGTGTATAAATATTTATATATGCGAACGCGATTATTCCGATTGCTATTGCGACCTTGGATAATTGAAGAGAGTTTGACCTATGCACTGGGCTAAGGTATTGAAAGCGGATCAAAAAGAACTATAAATTGGAATTGGGGGGCAATGGATAATTATTTACTTAGTATTTGTGCAGTTTAAGATAAAAGCAAACATGCTCAAAGTCCAATTGTGGGTGTGTCAGGGAATTAAAATACGCTAAACAGAAATTCATCAGGCATAAAAAGTTTCCGAACAATCGTCTGGGCCAACTATAGATAAGAGCTTATCTAATCTATCGACTTAAAGGAATTTAAGATAATCACAATAGATATTCATATAAAATCAGTTAGAAATTTGGGTTATTTAAATATACATATACATATATATATAAAAAGCCAGCAGTAAACAGATTAGTGATAGGCTCCAACTAGTTTAAATATATAAATGTATTCGGAAGCAAGAAAATTAGAATAGTATAATATATATTTTTTATATAGAACCGAGCCAAACAAAACTTTATGGCAGCACCTAGTATTCTAATAGGTAGAGAGCTGAACTTCTTAAGTTTAATCTTTATAGACTGCCTAGTATTTATGCTAATGGTATTTACCTCATAAATTTCGTTGGATATTTAACATAAGATTAGTAAAACGTCCTTGATTTAAGTTAGTTATAACAGCATATATATTTGCTAAATCGAATGTTAGTCACAGTTACACAACTTCTTTATTTGAATTTAGAAACCAAACACCAAAATTAGAAATAATAGTAAAGCCAAAATAAAAACTGAAAAAAAACATACCCAAAAAACAATTGCGTTATTTGCGCCGGCGTCTGGCAGACATTGTGCACATTGAGGGTGCGGGGGCGGGCGAAGAGCATGCTGGGACTGCTGCCCAGCAGACTGGGCAGACAGGCAGCCTCCGCCAAAATGGCCGATGTGGAGTTGCTGCGCAGTGTTGTGTAGGCGCGATAATGCGCAGCAGCGCCAGGCGCAGCAGCAGCAGCGGCGGCGGCAGCAGATGTTGAGCGCAGCTCCACGGCAGTTGTGGTCTCTTCCAGCGTTTCGACCATATCTTCGTCATTGTCTAGCTGCATGGGGTGGCTGCAGGAGCTTATGCTGCTGCCGTTGTTGTTGTTGCCATTTTTGTTGTTGCTGCAATTGTTGTTGTTGTTATTCGTAGTTGTTGGCTTGGTATTGCTCCGCAGCTTGATGTAGCCGTTGTTGTTGTTGTTGTTGTGATTGTTGCGATTGCTGTTGATGAGATTTGGTATTTTGGCGCGTTGATTGTTGATTCTGCTGCTGTTGTTGCTATTGTTGTTGCTGCTGCTGCTGCTGCTGTTGTTGTTGTTGCCATTGCCGTTGCCAATTGCTTGTGTGGCCATTGTGCTGTTGGCGTTGTTGTTGCTGTTGTAACGCTGTTGCAAACGCATTTTGGCCAATTTGCTGCGCATTGAACAATGTTTAATCGAATTGACTGTCGGGCTTTATGTCAGTTGCGCACACATTTTGGGCAAACATTTCTCAATACAACGCACAACTTGTCTGGTGTGTTTTGTTTTTTTTTTTTTTATAATGTTTTATGTATTCATGTGTTTGTTGTTTCTTTTCGTATTTGCCGGCGACAACATTTCACAGAGGCAGCTTTCACTTTCAACTAAAGGATTTTGGGTGCGCAAAAGAAAACAAAACAGTTTTTAACAACAAAAACAAACGAAATATAAGGCAAATTTTTTTGATAAAGTCATGTATCTTAGAAGAATTATGTTATTTTTTGACACTTTTATTTTACTTTTTTGTTAGCAACTGTGGGCGTGTGCGCGTTGGCAAATATTTGTGAGTAAATATTTTTCTCTGCTTCTAATTTTTTGCGCGCGTTTTAAATTGATTTCTTATATGTATATGTTTTTTGTGCTGTGAAGCGCGCACGCCAGCGCTTTTTTCATATTATTATAAATTTAGAAATGATTTTATATGCATGTATGTGTTGGGTGTGTGTGTGCTTGTACGAACGGAAGTCGCCTCACACAACATACACAAAAGCACTCGAAAGCGCGCAGCTTTTAACAGAGACACGAACACACGGCGAATACGCAACGTTGTGAACGCGTCGAGCCAACGTTGCCGAATGACTTCCCAAGCACAACAAAGCGCGCAGAAGTACTGCGCTCAGCGCTTCGCTGTTGCTGCTGCTCAGCTCAGCTCTGCTGCTGGGAGCGCGCGCGCACGTGTGCCTCTCTCTCTCTCTCTCTCTCACTCTTTCTTTGCGGCTTTCGCCTATGTGCGCGCTCTTGTTCAGCAGCGTAACGTGTTGTTTTTTTACGTGCTAATTTGTTTTTGGCGTTTGATCTCTTTTTGTTGTTGTTTCCTTTTTTTTTTTTTTCAAACAAACACTCAATCAAATGCTGTCCATCTTGTGCTCAGCATCCAGCGCGCGTGGGCAGCTTTCGATTGTCGAAAAGTTTTTGTTTTTTTTATGTTTTTTTCCATATCGATCGATCGATCGAATGGGTTTCATAGCAACAAGCAAAATGCTCGTAATTTGCACAATTTGGAAGCAACGCACAATGGCAGCCAAATTATAAAATGGCCAACAAAAATTGAAGCCACATTCCGTGCACATCATAAAATTTAATTTAAAAGGTGGATAATAAATTTAATTTTAAGATTTATATGATATACAATTACCTACAATTGTATTTTAATTGCAGCAAATACTCTTTCTATTGTGCAGTCTTTTAAAAAGCTAAATTTACCTAATTATATATGACATACAACAATCTTATATATTGTCTAAGAACTCAACTTGCGATCTTGTTTTTTCAAAGAAAATCTTAATGCCACAGGTCCATCACAATAAAAAATAAAATTAAAAAAATATTCCACAATCATATTTATTCATATATTTCTTGATACTATATGAAAGTATATCTATATAATTTAATTTTCAAATATTTTTGAACCCTATCTATTTACGTGTGAAATTTAGTAAAGAACTTAAAAAGAATTGATCTTGACTTTTTGGGATAAGACGAAAATAATTTCAAATAAAATATTTTCATCAAAGAAGTCTCATAGTTTTGCCCATTGTGCGTGGCTTTCTCTTTTTTTTTTATTATGCATTTTCAAACAAATAGTTTGGCCTGCAACAACGAAAGTTATTATAGCGAATGGGAATCATCGTTTTTTTTCCCTCCATTTGCCTTTTTCTTTCGGGGTGCTTTAACTATACAATGACTAACTCTTGCAACTGCTCCTAATTACAAACGATTGTGATTACTCATTGGCATTTTAGATTGTGCAAAATACAAACAAAAAACAAAACTGGTAGTTTGGGCCAATGTGACTAACAATCAGGCCAGATAAGTTACGCCGATAAGGGCCAAAAGTGGATTCGTGAGTGCAAAAAATGCCAACAGCTGCTCCTTAAATAGGACCAACAGGTAAATACGAATTGTATTCAAAGGTATTTCCGCACGACAGAAATTATGATTTCATGTGATTGTCAGCAGCTGTTGGTGGGCGTGTGTAAAAGACAGGCTAACCAATATGTATAAATACATATGTATGTATCTATAAGATATATATGACAGTCCAAATGCCAAATTTAAATACAAACAATAATTTATTGACGCCGCTCGAAATGAGATTATGAGCGCGTGTAGGTAAATGAATATTTGAAAAACAAAATAAAAACTGGCACAGAAAAGAGGGCGTTGCTTTAAATATTATAATGTATGTCAGGGTTTGCTCTTGGCACTTGTGCTATGCGAAAGTTCAAAAAGATTTGCGCACATCTATACACCTATATATGTATGTATATATATATATCTATTTTTTGGCCAAAATAATTTTAGAGATATTGTTGATGCTGTCATGTACGCGCCTTAAATGAGCATTTTGCGATGATGCCATTTTGTTGTGGGTTGCCTTTTTTCTCGCTTATTAATGATCTATTGAAAACACCGAAAACAAAAAATAAATGGACTGTGAAAAAGGTGAATTCGTTTAATAATAATAATAGCTTACAAACTGTGAATTCTAATAAATACGGATAACAAGTATGTCTGTTGGATAAGCCAAGTGAAGATTTGGATACATTTTAATTGGATAGGTTCGGATAACACAAAAGTTGACTAGAACGGGTTAATATTAATGGAACCTCCCAAAACGGATTATCAGTTAGGGATTTAATTGATATTCGATACCTTGAGATTTTTTTTACTAAATTGATATTCTAAAACTAAGATTCCTGGGTTCGGATAAGACGGAATAAGGAAATATAAGTTTGTTAATGAAACATCCAAGTATAAAGAAGGGAATAAATTAATATTTTAAATCTTGATATTTTTTGGTTGGGTTAATACCGGATAAGGCAATATAATTATATATTAAAACCTTGAGATTTATGTGTTCGTGCAAGAGCGGATAAGGAAATCTAAGCGGATAATCATTATAAGCTAAATTATGAAGTGTGTATTTTGCGGAAAAATAAATAAGGAAAACTCGAAAATAATTTAGAAATCAATTATTATGGAAATTAATGAAGAGCATGCTCGGATAAATTCGGATAACAGTAAAACAACTGCGCATTGAGCTGGATACCAATGTGCACATAACGATTGGTCCTTATGTATTAAAAGCTCGGATAAATTCGGATAACAGTAAAACAACTGCGCATTGAGCTGGATACCAATATGCACATAACGATTGGTCCTTATTTTTAAATTTAAGAATTTATTCCAATAATAATTAATTTAAAATAGTATATTTGCATTTCTTTTATAAAAAGCTGATTTAAAGTATAAACCGAGGATAAGGAACGTTTTTAGAGCTCGGATTAATTTGAGTAAAAATAAAGTAGCTGAGTAACAACAATTGAATATAGTTTATTGTTGGTTTTTCTGGCTCATGGGACCCTATTTTATCCTAATAGGTGATTCAGCTAATGAAACCAATCTCGAACAATATTTACGCCGACTGCGCAATACATTAAAGCTCGATCAAAGTTAATCATTTAACCGTGTCAGCTAATTTGCAAGAAATTAGGCGTTTGATTAGCGTCAGTCGCCGTGTGTTTTTTTTCTGTGTCTGCCAAATAGCTATTTGTTCGATGGGGTGAGTAAGTCCGAGAACATAACATACGAGAGTAGAACATAACGACGAGTGAGTACGCTGTTCAATTTCATTTTAAGATATATTAAAATTAAATATGTTATATCATTCAGAATGCCAGAGAGGAGAAAAATATTTATAATATTTTAATTGCATTAATCAACAAACTAATTTTGACTTGAAAACATCGATAATTGAATCTAAAAACACGTGCTATCAAGTTATTTAAAACTTACAAAAATTGTTGAGATTTTTAAAAAATTACAGCTTTTAGCTTAAAAAGATTCAAGAAATTAAAGAATAAAACTGCGTTTGAATAAGGTTTGCAATTGATTTTAATCGATAAAAGTGATGAAAAGTCAATCGATCAGGTTTTGCTTAATCGAAAATCGAACAGAATCATATAAGGGAAACTATAGTGGAAAATACCCCATTGAAAGACTTTGAGTATAGGGTGTAAGCAAAGCTCTTAAACTAAATAGTTGAACGCATTTGCAAATTGGTCACGCCAAACTAAACGACGCGTCGAGCACATTGGCGTCTCCCTTGTACCTGGGGGCGGGGGGTTTGGGGAGTTGGTGATGGGCTGATTGGCAGCTGATTGCCAGTTGATTGACAAATTGTGCGATTGTGTGTGGGCCTTGGAAGGTTTGTCGCCTTAGTCTGGCATTGCTCACATTCTGTTGACTATTTACTTTTATATAGTTTTTACTTTTTTTGTATATTTACTTTTTTGTTTTAGTTGTTTTTTATGCGTTGTTTGGCTGTGATAAGCGCTGGCCCGATTACTTCATGCGCATATTTCACGAAAATTCAATCAAGAAAGCCTGCCATAGACATGCATATACAAATATGTGTATATATAGCGATAAGTCTCCAAAGGCTTGGATAACAGGGCGCAGATAAAACGAACAGAAACACAACACAGAAAATAAAAAACCTAGCCAGAAACTGTATGCCGTAAATATTATTAGCATACGCTGCGTATGTGTGATATTTATTTAAAACTAAAAAAATAATATGAAGAGCAAAAGAAACGGCAGAAAATTAAATACAAATTTATCGCGCGCAAACACAAACGACCTTCAGGCCTTGCCTTTACGGCCTCCTCTCGGCCAATTTTGGCCGACGCGTTTTATTTCCGTTTTGCTTTAATTGCTATTTCACTAATTGTTTTGGGCTTTGCACTTCCTTGCGGTCTTCTCATTGACTCCTACAAGCATATTTCCCCCTTTTATTGTTATTGTAATAAATGCGTTCATTTTTTTTTTATTTTTTTTGCGACGTCTCTTGCTGCTGTTATTGTTTACAATGTCAACGCTTCCAGTCCGTCTCGCAGCACGAAAGAGAGAGTGCCAAGAGAGAGCCAATTCTGCAACTTTTGCGCTCTCTCTTTAAGCTTAAACAGAAAAGTATCCGCAAACAAAGACACGAGTATTGTGATAAGCATATTTCTGTTATAGCAGAAAGTTTGATACTCTCGTAAGAGTTGAAACAAATATTGCAGTACAGCAAAATGTCTTTGCTCTCTTTGTCTCTAGCTTATTTAAATTTTAATAAGAAAAATATGTTTGATAAAAAAAAGATATGTGGCAAAATCTAATATTATGAAATATAAGTACAAAATAAAATTGAAAAACGTTTCACTAAGAAATATTAACTATTTGATGATGTTGGACATGGATTTAGTTCCGTTCTACGTCTGCAAAAAACTATTTTGTCAGATAATAATTTATATATTTTAATAATTTTTCCTTTCTACAGAAAACAATTGCAATTGATTCTCATAATTTTCAAGTCATACAAGAAAATCTGTCAAGTTTGCGTCAAGTTTTAAGGCCATAAAGGGCAATGCGATTAATTTCTGAATTTAACACTTTTATCTTTCTTTAACACTTTCATGTATTTATATTTAGTTTACATTTATATATTTTTTATATTTCTCATTCTATCCTAAGAATATGTGAAATATTATGAATGAACTAAACTAAATAAACCAGTTGATCTGGCAACATCTTTGCACGTTAAGTTGGCTGCGCCAATAGATCTTGTTAAAAGTAAAAGATTAAATTGTCTTTTCTCGTTAATCGGAACTCCGTTTATCATTAAAGGTTCCGGATTAGTTTTTATAGTTCGTAATCATAATTATAATATGCTTCAGTAATTCTCATATTAGTTTTAATAGTTTGTAATCATATTTATAATATTCTACACTTTCTTAAACGGCTTTGAGAAATATTTATTTTAAACCATATTTACGTAAATGTTTATACTGAAAAGCAGGCCCGAAATTGCATGATATTAATTATTTGATAAATGTTTAGACTTATTGTTTGTTTATACGTCGCTGGCTTCCTGATGCTCCCAGAATTGTATATATATTTCTGTTTAGGGTATAAATTATTACAGGGACTGCAGTTGTTTTTTCTACGTAACCTTTGTTAACAATGCTCGTTCGTGTGTAACTCGCTTAAGACAACAAAAATATTTATTTAATCTTTATAAGCAGCACACACTTTATTTACTAGCAAATTTTTTCTCTGTTTTGTTTTTGCTGGCAACTTTGTTGATGTTTAATAATGAATTTGTGTTTTCGCCTAAAATTTATCAACGCTGCAGCGTGCCATTGTCTATCGTGTGTGTTTCCGTGTTAATCAAATTAAGTGCGAAAGTGGATTATTGTCAAAATGTGACAAACAACTAAAATAATAATAAAAACAATAATAAAACAACAAGCAATTCGCTTGCGGACGAGTCGAAATGGGAATGATAAATCGTGGGGGCATAGTGCACTTTCGGCTCGTGTCGGGCGGGCATTGCAATTTACGGGCAGATATAGATAGATATAGATATAGATATAGATTCAGATATAATAGCTAAAATAAGATATATTGCAATAGTAATTGACATTGGCTGATGTCATACCAGAAATGTATAATAATAAATAATTTTCGCTATCATCTTCCTGAAGATTGCAGTAATTTTTCCAAATGAATGAAAATAGCTTATCGCAACGGCTTGATCTATTAGTTCTTGGAAACTATTTTACAGAAATTTCTGAGACAATTAAAAGGTTATTTACAGTCCATAGCTTGGCTAGCACTTAAGATTTCGTTTTATTAAGGATAGTAGGGTATCAAACCGGAAAACTTGTTGTTCAATAGCCAAAGTAAGGATATCTTCGGCACGCCGCAGATTTAATGCCCTTGTACACATTTCAATTTTTATTTGCGAATAGTGAAACTCGTAAATACTGAGTTTGATGAAAAACAGAATATTTGGATAAGAGAATATGTTGCCATTAAAGAACCTACTTTTCGACCATTTTTTCCTATGGCAGCTTTATGGTATAGTGGTCCGATGTTGATGAGATTTTGTATACATATAGGGAACATAATGAAACTTTTAAATGGGTCAAGATATACTGTAAACCAACAAAGTTTTTAATACTAGAACCTTACCTAGCATACATATGTATCTATGGACTGTCTGCAACAGAAAGACGAACCTTAGCAAAGTTTTAAGACGAAAGCTTTAAAACTGAGAGCCTGTTGATACTGATCTAGAATATATATATTTTATGGGGTCGGAGATGAATCTTTCTATGCGTATTATAAAAAATATTATAATGTTTACATTTGTCTTTACAATAAATTCAATATGTATATGCTACTTTTTATATTAAATGGTTAAGAATCGACCAATTGTAGTTTTTTAGAACCATCTTATGTCTGTATTTTTTTATGTGTTATAATTTAATAATATGTGTAGAACGACTGACCTAGCTCAGTAATTATTATAATAAAGCTCAATAGGAGGAATTGGTCGAAAAGTACCTCTTTGAATTTGAAGATATCTTCCCAAATTCGGTAAATACGAGCTCTATAATTCCCCTCATTTATCTCCAAAAGCGTGAGTTCTATTTCTACAAGCGAGTTTGATTGCATCGAGATTTCAATGAAAATCTTTCTTTTTCTAATTTTTAAGAAATTTTTCTATTTTTTCCATGTCAGACTGTTTTATTCAAATATCGTAAGAGAAACTTTATCATAGACAATAAACAAAAATTACGAAGTTCCACAAGCCTATAAGTCTTATTTAAATAACTTTTGATATTATTGCTTCACTTTATATAGAAATATTTAAAGAACTTCGTTATTATAGAATCCTAATGCAAACTTCTTAATATACTCTTAAATCTGTTTTAAATTTTTATTTTTCTCAATGCTGATGATCTCAAACTTCTTAATAAAACCTAAGAACTTTGTGACATTTGAGCGTAAATAGACTTATTAATTGTAAATTGATTTTCCTGTGCAGTTCAATAAAGTTTAGAATCTCGTTTCGGTTAAAACATTTAACATGGGTTTTTGTTAATTGTTTTTCTTTTAAGACTTTGCCTTGAATGTTGACATCGTCTGAAACGCGGTCAAAAACGAAACCAACCAAGGTCCACGTTCCGTAAGACGGTGACCCAATCTAACGGGCCACTGGCGAAATTGGCATAAATAATGAACAATTTGTTAACAATTTCCTGCAAGCTGCTAAGCTAAAAGCACAATACGAGAAGAAAATAAACGAAACTAACGGAGCAAAGAGCGTTGCTTAGGTCATTGACCAAAAAAAGAATTAATGTTATTGTAAAAAAATAAGAGAGAGAGCGACCAACAAAAGCGCCGCCGTTGGCGCTCTCTTTCCGCCTCTCTCTGTCGCTCTGGCGTCGAGCACGTTTTCCAAGAAAAAGCCAACGACGCCACTTTTTGTGAGTGTGCGTGTGTGTGGGGAGCTCTCCCACAAGCACGCACACGACACACGGTCTATGAGGGTTGCCTCTTTGCTTTTTTGGCAAAGCCAACAACAACAACAATAATAATAATAATAATAACAACAACAGTAATAGCAACAATAACACGCAGCAACAACAACCATACAAAGGAAAGTTGTTTTTGTCGTTCTGTAGCGCCGCTGTACGGCACAAAGCGGTGCGCGCTTACGTCATTCATAAAAATAAAAACGCAGCGCAAAGAGCAAACGAGCAGGGCCGCTGACTTGCTGTCCCGCTTACACCCTCTCTCTCTCTCTCTTTGTTGTTGGTGTTGCTGCTGCTGTGCGTTTTCGAGTGTTGTTCTTGTTCTTGCAGCTGCTCTGCGCGTTCTCACTTTGCTATTTACCTGAAGAATATTTTAACCATCTTGTTTGGCATTATTTAAATAGCAGTCGTTCGCTCTTGCCACGCTTATTTTATTATACATTTAATCAGTTTGAACTACATTGCCACGGATATCGCGTTCTTGCTTTTGTTTTAACCGAGCCGCAGGTTTTGTTTTGCACGCACACAAATCTACTACTTTTCGCTTTGATTTTGTCGTAGCACTGAGCTTCTTGTCATAGGTGTAAGAAAAAGTTTACAGCTGTCCCTTAAAGGCATTTGTTAATCGTGTGGCCACCCCAATCTATCGGAAGTCACAAAACGAAGTTTCAGATGGCAGCAAGATACTTCGTCACATCTTTGCAGTTAAATTCAGTTTCAAACCAGATTATCTTAACTATTTGTTCTCGTGTTCCTGGTGTTTTTGCATATCTGATAAGCGACTAACCGAATATTTAAATTATAGTATTGGGCATCCATAGACGTAGTTTGCAAACTTTCAAAAAAATCGCTAAACCGTTAACATTTCTGTAAAATAAATGTTTTGCTCAAATGGCACCGCTGTTATGTTACAGAGTTGACACAGTTGCAGTTATAGATGGCCCAATGTTGATAAGAGAGTGATGTAGCATTGAGCAATACAACCGGTTAATGCCGCGAAACTGTAAAAATTCACCGTTCAAATACTTGTATAAATGTAAAAAAAAAGTAATAAATACGCACAATGATGCACACATGGAAGTCACTCATTAATTAAACACAAGAAAAAACGGTAATGTGTGGCGGCTTTGTATTGCCATCACTTTGTTAGGGTTTTACCACTTAGCTGCCGGATTTCATTGTCACTTGCAATATCTTAATTGCAAGCTCGCCGCCGTGTGTGTCGATATCAGACGTTCTTTTCAGAGGCTGCTCTTCTTATTGTTTGCTTTTAATTGCAATTACCTGTCAGATTAATGCACAACTTCTCCCTCTTAATTGTAGCAACAACAAGCAGTTGGCGCCACCTGCCGCCAACCACAGCGCAACACATTTGCATTGTTTAATTGCCACTCAAAGCGCCCCCTACCTGGCCACATACGCACACACTTACACAGTTGGGCCTCTCATTTTCACACGGGCCGTTAAAGTGCCGCATTTCTTGATGAATGTGCAACAATGGCAACTTAACTCAACTCTGCGTGGTGCTTATCCTTTCTGACCACACCAGTTGCACCACCTGTAAATGTGTTACTGAAGTGCCAGTGAAGAGGAAGAAGATGCTCTTTCGTTAAGTTCACTTCACGCTAAATTGAAATATTCTTATTTTACTATTAACATGGTTTGTTTAATCAATGCCAATAAAAAACAGTTTTTATATTATTTTCGAAATATCTAAGCCCCTGAGATTTTCAATGTGGGTTGCTCTTGCTTTCGATATTCGATAATTTGCCTTGTTTCCAAGCAATCGATAAAACCAGATATGGAATTTCCGTTTTTGGGCAAATCTTTTAGGTTTTAGGAGCTAAGGTCGCCAGTTTCCGCCAATAAAAATAACCCAATACGTGGAGTGGCTGTAAGGTATAAGGCGAAGGCAAGTAGTTCAATGGGTTAAAGAAAGTTGCGAGTTCGAAACCGGGTAAGACAATTACTTTTATTTTTGTTTGGCTTCTTTTATTTTAATAAATGCTAATATAAAAGTTCTAGCGCATTCTTATCCGAGTGCTTTCCCTACAATAGCACTCTTTTCTTGTTATGTTTCTTAAATTAAAATTAGTATTCGGACTATTCTAAAAAAAAGGTCTGAAAACTAAGCAATTTAATTTTCTAGCCAACGCAGTATTTAATTTTGTTTTAACCCAAACATGATTTTAAGTTTTGGATCACAGTAAATCTTACTGTAATTCCTACAATTTTATCTAAAAGTCTTATTATTTATTGTCTCTTTTAGGACTTGCACTTGCTCCTGTAAGAGAGTCCATATGTCCTCAAGTCGATTTTCGATACTCACTTCGTCTTCTTCCTTTATCTCATCGTAACATTTGCATTGTATAATTTCCAAAGCCCGCTTCACAGTCGTATGATCGATCGTCAATTCTTTGAACTGTTCGCTGGACATTTCGAATGGATAAATGCAATTATCATTTTTGTTTTGACCGATTTCGATATCTTCTTGGCTGTTATAAAGAAAATCCGGCTCTGAAGATTGCGAAATGCTGTCGCCATCCTCGTGATCTGGATTAAATAAACGTAGACTGGCACCGTCCTCCGAATCTGGCAATTTATCGAGGCTCTCATTTCGATGTCGCTGACCATAAACTAATGCTTTGTTGTCCTGATTGGGAAGTATCGATAGATAACCATAGGAAACATTCGTTTGAATTTTTGCTAGCTTGTGGAAGATGCCACACAACCATTTGCAGTATTTCCAATCATGCTTCAAGCCGGCCTCATAGCGACTCAGTATATCTGTGCGACATATGGCGGCATTCAGCTCCACATGGGCTCGGATGGCCTGTTAAATAAGTGAAATGTGGAGGGGAGTTCGAGGAATAACAAATTGCATACATTTAGCAGATTTCCAAACGAGTAGTTATATATTTAGCGGTCTGAGGTTTTTTTTTTTTTTTATATAAGAATTCGTTTGAAAATCTTCAAAAAGGGTTTTTTCTTTTAGAAATTGAATTTTTGTATAGCTACTTCAATAGCCTTCCGGTTCTATCATCAGCAGACTTTGTTATCGACTCTAGATTTGGAGGGACTTGTCGTCAGTCCGAAGCTATAACCACTTGAGAATTATAAGCAAAGACTTCTTTTGTGTGTTTACCCCTTCCATTGTTTATTAGACACAGATTTTTTTTTATACCCTTGACTATTATCGTTTTGTCGTGAAATGTGTAACGCATAGAAGAGACATCTCCGACCTCATTATATATATTCTTATATATATTCTTGATCAGTATCAACAGCCTAGTCGATATAGCCATGCCCGTCTCTCTGTTTCTATGCGTACAAGTCTCTCAGTTTTATATCATATAGCTACCGTAGGAACGATCGGTCGAAAAGTAGGTTCTTGTATGAAAAATTTGGTTGTTTATCAAGATATCTTGACCAAACTCGGCATTTGTAATTTTACTATGCTCCTCATATATATCCAAAATCCTAACAACATCGGGCCATTGGAACGACTGGTAGAAATTTAAGTTGTTGTATGGAAAACTTTTTTGTATTTCGAGATATCTTGACCAAACTAAGCATTTATAGGTATGACTATGCACCATACATTTAAGCAGAATCTTATTTACATCGGAGATACGGGCAAAATACTATGACCATTATGAAAAGGTTGGGTCTACAAGGGTATTAAATCTTCGGAATGCCGACGACGTGCCCTTCTTTCTCGTTTTAGCATGTCTTTAAAAACAAAAAAGTTTTTGATACAAAAACTCTATATACGATCGATTTTTCCTATGACAGATATATGAAATAGTGGCCTGATCTAGTCGACTATGACATATGCTCCGCCCAAAAGGATTCAATGGGATAAGCTTTGCACGACATCGTGCAGACAGATATTACTAAATCGATATGAATGTATGTGTATACCCTATGGTGATTAATTCTCTACACAATAGGTGAAATTTGTATAACATCCGTAAGTAATTCGAATAACTCACCTGTGTATCGCCGACAGCCAAGCCGCTTAAGAGATTGGTTAGTACAATGCACATAAACATGAAGAGCAGCAAAACCAACGAACCGGAGTAGCTATTAAAGTCCTTGTACTCAAACTGACCCGTAAACATGACCAGGGTTTGGATGAACCCGCGACCCAGCTGACTTAATGTGAGGAACAGCTCGGATTGATCCTCGGATTGCGCCAGTTGCGGCTGACCAAATTGAATATAAAAGCAAAGGCCAAAGGTCAACACCAAAATTGAGTAGAGCGCCAAGCTGACGAGAAAATTGCGCGACACCTGACGCAACATGAGCATGTGCGTCGATATGCCCGGCACTGGCAGAGCACCGATCATCAGCATCAGCTTGCACGCCATCAACATGATGGCCAAAACGGAAACGATGCGCTGGGTCTGCGGCTCGCACCACTCCAGGCATGTGAGCAGGACCAGCACCACAAGCGGCGGGTCTATGGGACTGGGCATATCCCTGACCATTAAATAGGCCAACAGGTCCGCCATAACCATATAGAGAATGAATAAGCTGCAGCTGGCACAGAATAATCCTATGCAGAGCTCGTGTGTGCTGCGCTGTGGAAAGCAGAGCAAAGAATGCGCGACCAGAGAGATTCCAAAGAACAAGAAGACTGCGAAGTGGGTGAGGAAGATCCTTGAGAGATTCCGCCATTTGAGCAGCAAAAAGCAGGTGATCAACGGATGCTTCAGCAGCGGGCACAGCTCCTTGGAGCTTGCGATATACGCAATGGGCGCCATATCCAGCTCGTGCTGCTCATTGGTCAAGTTCATAAAGTTCAACAGAATCTCGTAGCTCTCATGGCTGGGCTTTTTTCCGCGACTCGTGATGCAATAATCGAAATGCTGCTCCAACAGCTGCATCTTTATATCCTCAATCAGCAGCTTCTTCCTGTCATTGCGCAACCCCAAGGGTGCTCCTTGACGCAGTAGCTCACGTATTGCGATCTCATTGCAGCAATGGACCGCATAGTGAAGGAGCGTATACCCATGCGAGTCTGGGACGTTGATGCAACTTTTCGGATCCATGCGCAACAGCTGCTGTAGGCAGGTCTGGTAAATGTTGCGCTGGAGCTTTGGTGGATCCTGTTTGATGAGCGTAACCAACAGCTCGCCACCCGATTCCAGTTTAAGGCGCTTGTTTTGCACCAGCCTAAGCAGACAGAGCACCGTTGTCCAGTCGCCCTCCACAATGTTGATCTCGACTATAAATTGATTCTCCCCCGGCTGATTCGTTGGCATAATGGCTTCTATGGCATTCAGTGCAATGTTGTTGCTGTTCTTCCGGAACTCTGTGAGCAGCGCGCAGATCATAATTAATTTATCCCAGCCGTCAATCTCTTGCTCGTAACGCGCCATCGCCTGCAGCAGCTCATCCACGTTAAGGCTCAGGAGCTGCCGCACCAGCAGCTTGTACAGCATTGGGCTGTTTCCATTTGGTTTGTTCTGCAGCACATATTCCAGTCCCTCGCCATAGTTGGCTAGGTTTAGTTTGGGCATTAAAAGCAACTCATATACCAATCCGATGCGTATACTCTGGTGAACTTCGGTATTCTGTAACAGATGCTGCATGGGCGTCTTGCCCTCTGCGTCGACTATGTTAGGCGAGGCTCCATAAGATATCAGTTTCTCAATACACTCGACGATATTTTCGTATTCTGTCCCGTTCAGTTGCTTGACTAGCATAAGCAATGCGGTCTCCTGTTTATACAGATAGTCCGCATTGACCATGTGCTTGTGCCGATCGAGCAATGCGCCCAGATTGCTTGCATCTTTGGAGTCCGACGCATAGTTAATAGCCGCCTTTTTAAGCTGCGGATTCACCTGAAATCAGCATAACCCAGAGAATAAATGAAGTCTCTATAACTTGACGTTCGCCTCTCACATAGTTGATGTCACACCCAGCCAGCAGACAGGCTGTTAGGAATTTGCTACAGCCCGCAGTGGACAGCGCCTGCTCGTAGATGCTCATTCCTTGACCGGACTCATCGTGGCTGACATTCGGCTGGGCACCCTGTTTGAGCGCACGTCGAAATCTAGCCAAATCCCGGGCCTCAAATGCATCTCTTAGCTCCAGCTGGGCATTAACGCCTTCTGCATCCATTTCGTCAGTTGTTCTTCAGTCAAGCGCCGAACACACAATGCTCTGATATAAGCAGCAGCTTTCGTATATAAGGGCTCATAAATTATAGCTGTGTATAACTCTAAAGTTCTGATAATACCCTTCAAAAGCGTTACGGTAAGAGTAAAGTCTAACTGTTCTCTTAATCCGAGGGGACAAGTTCGGGATGCATGGAATAACAAATAATTATATAAATATTAACTCATAACAGGTTCGAATTCAGTACAAGAATGTGTTCACTCGAAAAAAAAATAAATTAAAAACAGAATTTTCTATGAATCAATATGGAAAACTTTATAAAGCTAACACTAATCCTTATTTATTATTACTTTTTGTACAAATTTAAAAACTCTTTTAAGAATAAGAAATTCAAATAGTAATTTATAGTTTTATTTTTAAAACTGGATACAGGTTAAATATATTTAGGCTGTCAATTTCCTACAAACCGAAATTTATTCCTTGTAACTCTTGGAGTTTGATACTATAAGATTTGCACTATAGGGTAAATTAAACGAATTTGTACACTCTTTACAAATAAAAAACAAATTTAATAGGCACCCGTATTTGCAACGGTTCTCCTATATTTAACTTCGGCCTTATCGCTTAATTTCTAAACTTTTTTTATTTCGTATTACTAATATATATTTTATTTAAAAGAGGAAAGTATTGTTTTGTTATAAATCTTGTTGCCACAAGTTGGATGGATAACATAAATAAATAATAATAATAAATACACTTTACATTTAAAGAATCCAAAAAAGGCTGTATTCTAACTATTTCCATAATATACCTGTCCCTATAATTAAAACTGTTTGTAAGTAAGAACTAGAAAGCTGAAACTTTTACTGGATTGCAATTGCAATCTCGCGGCCGTGTGTGTCGATATCAGACGTTCTTTTCAAAATATGATCTTCTTATTGTTTGCTATTAATTGCAATTACCTGTCAGATTAATGGACAACCTATTAATTGTAGCTAATTGTTATTATATTATTATATTCTTGTTAGTTTTATTTGTGAAAACGATTATAATAGTGAAATAGTTCTTCTTATTTTCTCTTGTCGCTGTTCCCGCTGATTGGCATCTTTCTTCTTCCAATTCCAAATGGCAGCTTAATTCCCTAATTGTGTTCGCCATCCACTTTACTGGTTGTTTGTCGTTCTTTTTCATGCTGAACGTCAAATGCATGAGGTATACAGCGGCGATCGTAGTTCACTATACCCAGGAAGCGGCCCAGTTCGTATTTTGTTTGTGGCCGATCATACTTTGAGGTCGCCTTGAGCTTTAAAACTTTGGAGCTTTAAAACAATACCTCAGTTTCCTGTGGCCGTTTGCTTGCAGGATGCGTAGGACATAGTTCACGTGTTGCTCAGGCTCTTCAACTGGACTTGCCCATGGACTTTTGGAATAGCGACAGATTCGTTTGTCGAACAGTTGATGGATTTTTGCTTTCGCAGATGCCAGTTTCTCACCCATCAGTCGCCGTGAACGATCTGCTACTGGCTGTGATGATTTAGTGGCGAACTGCATGTGACGGACGATTTTCGCTTAGGTCCTGTACGTCTAGACGGCGGCCTTGCCACCGTCGCATGTGCTGAATGGTTGCTGGTCATTGAAATGCCTCCGCCCCAGCTTAGTTCACAGCAGCCGCTCTAGTTTAACTGTTGGTAACGTGCGCAACTTGGTTGACATTTACGGGAGCGATCACCAAACTTGCTGTGGTAGGGGCAGAGGGATCTTTAGTCCCCACCCTCCACGTCGTTTCACGGTTTTGGTGGGCGTGCATATGATTGGCTTGAGCTATGAAATTCGTCCTGAAGCTTATTGACTTTCTGCGAAAGCGTATGCAAGGCTGCCGCAACGTCAGTTAAATTAGGGCTATTGTAACTGACCGCGTCTACATTCTGCTGATTTCGGCGATAAATAGAGTGGGTATAACGGGTTCGCAGCCATTAGCGGGTGCTAAGTAACGCATGTGTGTAAGGATTTCCGACGGCTTCTTGCCGGTCATATCGCGACCTTGCAGAAGTCTCTTTAGTTTTGAGTCCTCTGGGTGTGCAAATGTTTCGAGAAGCCGTTGCTTCAATGCGCCGTATCTGTTATTCAGACGTGGTTTTATGAAAAGATCCTCGATGGTGAGCGACATCCTTCTTAAAGTGTACCGACACCAAGTCGAACTTGCGATCTGTGGCTGACACAACATTGTGCAAGAAACACAGGCGATCCAATTGCGCAAACCAAAGTTGACTGTTGCATTTGTTGAACTTCGGAGCGTTGATCTGTGATCATTGCTGAACATTTTTGTAATAATATTTGTGAAAACGATTAAAATAGTGAAATAGTTCTTTTTATCTTCTCTTGTCGCTGTTCCCTCTGATTGTCAGCTTTCTTCTTCCACCTTCGAATGACAGCTAAGAGGTAGGCCCGATATATATTGGCCGATAGATTGTGCCTAGGGCACGTTGCTGCCCTTACTTTGACTTCGAACTTTCGCTCCGTTAGATACGAGCGCAGAAGCAGAAAGATGGGGGCGGGGAGACGCATCTTGATTTTCTGGAGCAATCCATCAATCCAAACTCGGCCGAAGGCCTGCTTAACGTCTACAAAGACTCCATAGCAGTAGTCTTTGTCAACGTAAGTCTTAAGAATATGGTTAATCACTCTGTAAACCTGTTCAACAGCGCCATGCCTTCCCCTGAACCCAAATTGGTGATCAGAAAGGATGGCCATGTGATCCATAAACCATGCAAGACGGGCGTCAATCATTCTTTCCCTGAGCAGACAAGGAAGGCAGGAGACTGATCGGCCGATATGACTCAGGGTCATATTCCGGATTGCCCGACTTATGGATCATATGGATCCTCGCTAACTTCCACTGGGCAGGGAAGTATTGCGTTCTTAATATGGCAGGGCCTTCAGGGTGGTGTGGCATATTCCATCATGGATCGGTGCTTTAGCCCTGGGAAGGATTTTGACTACGATAATCACCTTTAACCGTTCCTCAAGGTGGCTGGCGAAGGTATTGGCTTGCTCTTCGTCTCTAAGGCAGTATTATGGCGATGAAGGAAACGGTTCTCCAAAGTTGGCGCATCAGGTTTTCGGTTTCTCGCCAGAGCGAGTATCCTGAGTCATTGGTATAGTCCATACTCTCCAACCACCTGGTAAAAGGATGCGTCTTTCAGTCTGCGAAGGGCCTCCTTGAGTTGCCGCTCCGCCTTACGGATGCTGTGTCGTTTGGAACCTGCGTCTGCACCGCCTCTGGATCCTGAGCAGGTTGCATTTGTTCAACTTCGAAACGTTGATCTATGAGCATTGCTGAAAACTTTTGTGAAAACCTTTGTGAAAACTATTATATCTTATCTTCTCTTGTGGCTGTTCTGCGCAGTGCTTATCCTTTCTGACCACACCAGTTGCCCCACCTGTAAATGAGTCACTGAAGTGACTTTCGTTGAAGTTGAGAAATATCCGCCAAATTTCCACAGTTGCGGGTGGAATTTCAAAAATCACTAAGACGTGATTTTATTGTGCTCTCATGTGTGCTCGAAAAATAAAAGAAAACTTAAAACTATGCCCAAAAATCTTTAAATCTCATTTTGCACCGAAGAGACTTGCATTTTGCAAAAAGTGTGAAACACGTATCAAATGAATTTCACAAAGACCCTTGAATTGATTTTGAAGTCGATCGAATGGTACAAAAAAAAAAACTTTCATGCAACCGTTTACCGATTTTCTCACACTTTCGACTGAAGATTTCTTAGCTTATACCCATATCAAATAATAAAGTAAAGAAACTAAGCGATAAGGCCGAAATTAAATATAGGCGAACCGTAGTCAATACGGGCGCCCATTTAATTTGTTTTTTATTTGTAATGAGTGTAAAATTTCGTTAAATTTATTCTATAGTGCAAATCTTATACTATAAAACTCCAAGAGTTATACAGAATAAATATCGGAATGTAGGAAATTATTTACAGGTGATAAAAAAGAAGCGCCCAATAAGCACAATGTTTTTAGTGCTTGTAATTGTAATTATAAAAGGTCAGTTTTAAATATAATTATTATATTTTTTTTTCAATGTACGCTTGCAATTAATTAATTATTGTTCTTAAAAGTGTTTTGAAATGTTTATAAGAAGTAATAATAAATAAGGAATAAGTATTATGAGATTTTCGATACTGATTACTTATTTTCGAGGGATCCCATTGTTGTGTTGAATTCGAATTTGTTATAAGTTAATATTTATATAATTTTTTGTTTTTCCATGGATATCGTCTCAAAACCTGACCTTCTCACCTCGTTAGCTATGTGGGGATTAAGAGTTAACAGTAAGTTTTTTTAGTCTTACCGAAACGCTATTGAAGGGCATTATCAAAACTTTAGATGTATATGCCTATGGGTCTTTCGCGGTGACGCTAGTGAACAGCTATGATTTATGAGCCCTTATATACGAAAGCTGCTGCTTATATCAGAGCATTGTGTGTTCGGCGCTTGACTGAAGAACAACTGAAAAAATGGATGCAGAAGGCGTTAATGCCCAGCTGGAGCTAAGAGATGCATTTGAGGCCCGGGATTTGGCTAGATTTCGCCGTGCGCTCAAACAGGGTGCCCAGCCGAATGTCAGCCACGATGAGTCCGGTCAAGGAATGAGCATCTACGAGCAGGCGCTGTCCACTGCGGGCTGTAGCAAATTCCTAACAGCCTGTCTGCTGGCTGGGTGTGACATCAACTATGTGAGAGGCGAACGTCAAGTTTTAGAGACTTAATTTATTCTCTGGGTTATGCTGATTTCAGGTGAATCCGCAGCTTAAAAAGGCGGCTATTAACTATGCGGCGGACTCCAAAGATGCAAGCAATCTGGGCGCATTGCTCGATCGGCACAATCACATGGTCAATGCGGACTATCTGTATAAACAGGAGACCGCATTGCTTATGCTAGTCAAGCAACTGAACGGGACAGAATACGAAAATATCGTCGAGTGTAT